TTCTAGTTGTTGTTGTTGTTGTTGCTAATATTTCATGTCCAATTTTTTTTCCCACTAGACATTTTTTTCAAGCTAAATGGTTGATGTGTATCTGTGTGTGTGTGTGTGGTGACAACAACATTTTCAACCGGTGAACGAATATTCTCCATATTTGACAAGAATTCAGTTTTGTTTTTCATTGACTTGATTGTCGAACGTGAATCAAGTCAATGAAATAAAACAAAAAAAAATGTTATCGACTGTGACTAATGAATGATAATTTGATAATTTAGCTTTTTATCTCTGTCTGTCTCTCTCTCTTTTTTTTCTGAAGAAATGATGATGTGAAAGTTTATTTTGTGAATTCTTGATGGGGATGAAAAGAGAGAAAATTTTGAATTCTGGAAGCAGTAGCAGTGTGTGTGTGTGTGTGTGTGTGGACATCAGTTAATCTCAAACTTATGAATCCAAAAGATGAACAGTCGATTGGTCGATCAAAGAGTGAAAAGAGAGAGAGAGAGAGAGAGAGAGAGAAATTCTTGGCACACAACCAACCAAATCGAAAAAAAAGTTTATTTTTTTTTCTCATTTGGTTCGTGTCCAGTATGTGAATGATGATGGGGATGAGTAAAAGTTTTTGATTCTCTGTTGTTGTTTTGTCTTTTTTTTTTTTTGTTTTCGGCTGTAAAAGTTTTCGACAACCGACGTTGACGACGAAATAATTCAAACACACACACACACAAATATTGAGTGTGTATGTGACAAGTAGTTTTTGTGTTTTTTTGTTGTTGTTTTTTGGTTCCAGTTTATTTTGGAGTTTTTTTTCTATATTTGAAAGATTGACATAATTAAATTGTTATGTCATTGTCGAATGCTGTTGTTGTTGTTGTTGTTGTTAGCGTTTCAAAGATCATCATCGTCGTTTGTCGTGTTCTTGGCGCATTTTTGTCATTTTTTTTTCCCGTTGTTTTATCATTATCAAACAACCAGAATTTAAATTTAAAATGACCATTTAAAGCTTGATTTCGACATCAATAAACGGTCAATATTCAATCCATCCGTCTTTACGGTTATTGAATTTTTTTTTTTTACATTAATCGGTGAGAAAAACGGAAGAATGGCAAAAGTTTTGTGTTTTTTGTTTGTTTTTTTTGTTGAAAATTTTTCATATTTCATTTGCATAAATAATGGAACTGGTCAATACAACAAAACAGACAGACAAACGAAAAAGTTTTTGGCCACTTTAACGTCATCACAAACAAACAAAAAAAAAAAAAATACAGCTGAATCCATTATCTTATCGATAAAAGCAAAAAAAAATTCGATTCGATTTTGAATTTCCATTCAATCAGATTCCAGTAAATAGATCTGTAAAGAGTGAGAAAAAAAAATGACTATTCACACAAACCAAATTGAATTCTTATTTTTTTGAAACTTTTATCAATTGATGATTGTTGTGAGAATTTTTTTTTTCTTTCTGTATAACATTAAGAAATAAGGATTGTGAGATAGATAAAATCAAAGTTTCTTGTCCAAACATGGTGGAACAAATAAACAGATCACAACAACAACAACAACAACAACAACAACAATAATAATCGAATCGTAATAACCAGCAAAAAAAAAAAATCAAAATCAGAATGTTCCTGATTCAATCTCTTGGCAACTATTCTATCAGCGAATGAATCATTAATTTAAATGCTGATCGATATATAAAAAATAAAAAAGACAAATTGAGCAATGGTGGCTGTCTATGATTCTGTGTGATTGTATTCAATGGTATATTGTTTGTTTTTATATGAATGAATTTCCGCCGTCTATTTTAGCTTTTTCTTAGTGAACGAACAAAAAAAAAAAATTATTTTCTGGATTTAAGCAATTTATTTGATAATCAAATTCCATGATCTATTTATTCCGTTAATTCTTTGTCATCATCATCATCATCACCATTATTATTAGTGACAAAAAAAATACGTACAAAGAATATTCTTCTGTTCAATGTACTTTTTGTTGTTGTTTCCCACGATACAGTGTGTGTGTGTGTGTGTGATACAGTATTCTGATGATGAACACACGCTAGAATCCATGGTCCAAGATAATTTTCTTCTGTTTTTGACAATATCGAGATCTGCTTTTTTTTTCTTCTTCTTCTTCTTTATTTTTATTTCACAATTTTCATCCACTAGGGACTTTGACTAAGACGTTCTTGATGATGATGATGATGATGACGATGAATGATGAATAAATAAATTCTTTTCATTTCCCGATGAAATGACAAGCTTTTCAAATGAAATGAAAAAGAACAAAAAGAAAATTTCTATTTTTCATTTTCATTACAATATTGATGATGTATGTACCACCATTTTTTTTTCTTTTCAAATGTTTTCAACGGAACCAAAAAACAAAACAAAACAAAAAACGAAAAAAAACGGAGAAAAAAAATAATTTGAAATGTCGAATCGAACAAAAATGGTCAAAACATGGCCACTTGAATTTATTATTCGTCGTTTTGTTTGTTTGTTTGTTTGTTTCATTGACACAAATTTCATCATAAAGAAGATTTTTTTTTTTTTTTTTTTTTTGATAAAAGCCTGGACCACTACACACACACACACACACACAATAACAACAACAACTAAAGTTTTTATCCATTCATTCAGACAACAACAACAACAACAACAACAAAAATGTTTACGTCATATTTAAAAGAAGTATTGACCACACACACACACACACACACATTAATAAATAAAATGATGATGATGACGAGAATTGCATTCTATTCATATATCCGTTTTATTCATTCATTCATTCATTCATTCTATCATTAATTTATTCGGTGGATTTATTCAACCGAATATCGAGAGAGAGAGAGAGAGAGAGAGAGAAAAATCAGAGAAATGTTAATAACGTTATTTGAAAATGGATAAATTATATGGATTCTTTCTTTCTGTCTTTCTTTCTTTTCATTTTAATCACTTGATCCTAAACATTGAAATATCCGGATATTCTTTTTTATTCAATCATTAATTCTGTCTCTAAGAATTCTATCCGTAGAATTATATCGATGATATGGTGATGATGATGATGATGATGATGATGATGATAAAAATCAAAGCAAACATCTAGGGCAAAATGAAAGAAGAAAAATGGAGGCCAAATTCATTTTTCTTTTCTTTTTTTTTCTCTCGGACCATCATCATCATCATCATCATCATCATCATTACCATTACCATTATCATTCATGTTTGATCTTCAAAAATGAAGAAGAAAAATTTTCCATTTATCTTTGGCTTTCAAACATTTTGCCTTCTTCTTTTCATGCTTCTGCCTATCTGTCATTATAACCACCGCCACTTTTTGGTTCGATATATATTGAACATCATCATCATCATCATCATTAACAATCATATAATCAAAAAGGCCACTTGAACAAAAAAAAAGTTTTTCATTTCATTTCATTCTTGCCAAAAATCATGAATCTTTCTGAAATTTATGATTTATTGTTTACTTTCACGTTGTTGTTGTTGTTGTTGTGTTGTGTTGTTGTTGTTTATTGAATTTTTGAATCAAACGACCATCAATGAGCAGATAAAACAAGTTAACACACACACACACACACACAAACAGCTCAAAGAATGGCCATAGAATATTCAATAAATTCAGTTTTATTCATTTGAATTTGAAAATTTAACTAAACAAAAACAAAATTATACGAATGAAATATTGTGAAAAACTTTTTTCTGTTTGTTTGTGTGTGTGTGTGTATGTCTGTTTATTTTCATGAATTTTGGGGGCACAAAAGAGAAAAAGTTTCAATAACAAACGACAAACGACAAACGACGACGACGACGACAACAAAAAAAAATATTTCAATTGGAACTTTGGATCAGAATCTAGTTATAGAGAAAAGTATCAACCATTAACGTCTTGTTGTCGTCGTTTGGTTCAGGGTTTGATAAATTATTCCAAATGTTTCTGTGTATGTTCTTCCTTTTTCCTTACATAAATTTCTTTGTTCAATTTTCACATTTTTTCTTAAAGAAAAAAAAGAAGAAGAAAAGAAACAAATTCAAATTCAAATTGTGTGAAATGAAAATGATATCAGATTTGGCTTGCATTTAAACAATGAAATGGTACATGTACACAACAAACACAACTCTTTATTGTTTGTCACCATTATTATCCATGTTTTGTATGTTGATCAAAAAAAAAAAAAAGTTTGTTACACACAGAACAGAATGTTTTTTTTTTCTTCGTTCATCTTCACTACCAAAAGATAATTTTAAATAATGTTTCCATGAAAATAACAAATGTGATTAAAATTGAAAAAAAATATCAACCATCACCATCATCATCGTGTTAATTAATCACTTTAATCGTCCAAACAAACTAAAAAAACGACGACGACGATGATGACGATGATGATGATGATGATGAATAATTATTGAAATTTTCATTTAAAATGTCCTCTTTCTATGTAAAATCAATAATAAAAATCGATTAAATTCTAATGAATGAATGAATCGATTTTTGATTAAATTTCGAAAAAAATGACTTTTTCAGGTGTTTGAATGTTCAATACCACTAATAATGATTTTGGTTTTTTACTTTTTTTCTCTTAGAAATCTACGCACCGGAAATCCATTTCAACAGCAAGAATAAAATTCCTGGAAAAACAACGCGCACACACACACACACAGATAATGACATCGATAAATAACAAAGAAATTTTTATCAATTAAAAGGCCAAATTCAATGATGATGATGATGAAGAAGAAGAATACATCGATAGATCAATCAAATGATCCATCATCGATACAAATTATCATTGATAATTATCATAAACAAATGATCAATAATGATGATCATCATCATCATTATCGAATGAATCAATTAATTCAATATTTTTAATAATAATAATAATAATAATCATCGTAAACGACGAAAATATCGATCATCAATATTGATGATGAATAAAAATGAAATAACGACGGCAACGATGATGATGACTAGAATAATTGTGATTCTAATAATGGCAATGATGATCATCATACATCAAACATCATATCGATTCATTAATACTGTGATGGCTATCAATATTGTTGATAATAATTATAAATTTTAATACAAAAACAGCAACAATTTTCATTATTGAATATCAATAATAATGATGATAATGAAAACAATATTCAACCGGTAACATTAACCGCATCCACATCCACATCATCATCATCATCAGCTATGCAACAACAGAATTTCAATAATAATAATAATAATAATCAAAATTGTAATATAATATGTCAATGTAAATGGAAATCTGGTAAAGAAACGGCAAACTGTGATCATCGTTCATTACAAACAATACCAAATGGTCTTTCATCAACTACACAGGTGATTGATCTGAATGGTAATATGCTCAATAAACTTCCTGCCATGATATTCATACAACGTGGTCTAATCAATCTACAACGTATTTATTTGGCCAATTGTCATTTAGGTATGTATGTGTGTGTGTGTGTGTGTGTTGTGTTAATGTTTATGTTTAACACTTTATAGTCGTTTAGGTATATATGTAGGTAGTACAATTGTTTCCGTTTCCGTTTTGTTTGTATATGCCATCGAAAAAAAACCTTAGCTCATTACAGTAGTAACAGCAAGATGGTAAAAAAAAATTAAGCTCAACGAAAAGAAAAAAACAGCCACAGCAACAACAACTTAATGTTTTTTTCTGCTGATTTTTGCACATTTAAAAAAAAAATAAATAAATAAAACAGAAAACTCGTCAATTCAGGAGACACAAAATTACAAGAATTTGCTGTTCCTGGTTCTAGAATTATCATTGAGCAAAAAAAAATAAAAAAAAAAATTGGATGAAATCTTCATTCAATTGGATGTTTGTTTATTCTTCTTTTTCTTCTTCTTCTTCATTTTGTCGTTTATTGTTGTTGTTACGATAATCGGTTTCTTTTCTTTTCTTTTTGCCATTCATTCGTTACGTTAATATATTGAATTCATTATCATCATCATCATCAAATTGTTTGTCGTTTTGGGAAATAAAATTGGGCCAAAGAGAGACAGAGAGAGAGAATGAACCAGTATGTACCAGAATTGTGCTTGTTTGGTTCAAAATTATTATTATTATTATTATCATAATGTGTTTGCGTGTGCGTTCCATGATCACAGGTTCCAGAGGAGAGAGAGAGAGAGAGAGAGAGAGAGAGCGATTCACATGGAATTCAATTCAGTTAGAGTTTTTTTTTGATTTCAATTCTAAAGTTGTTGTTGTTGTTGATGCTCTTTGGAGAATAATTAGGAATAAAGTGAAGTGGCTGCAACAAAAAAAAGCTTTCTAAATTCAGATTAAAATCAACAAAAAAAAAAAAAAAAATGATAAGAATGTGTGTGTGGGTGGGTGGAATTGAAAAAAATTCAAGATTTCTTTATTACGATTATTCAGCAGAAAAAAAATTCTGGAAAATTTTTTTTCCTAAAAATTTAATTTTGAAGAAAAGCAAAAAAAAAAAAAATCTGTTCTGTCTGTCCCATTCTATTCAAATGAGCTTTTGACCTTTTAACTAGTAGACTTTTTTTTAATAATTTGATTGTGAAACTTTATTACGGACACTTAAGTGTTAAAAAATCTATCAAACAAATTGCATCATCATCATCGACAATAACAATGATTGTCATACGATTTCAACACGATTCATTATGGTTATTCGGACTGGCCATCAATAAACAAATAAAAAAAGTTTTGCACAAATAACAGTAACAACAACAACAACAACAACAAAAGTTCAAGTTTTTATCCATAGTTGAATTGAAACTCTGTCGCGTTGTTGTTGTTGTTGTTTCATCATCATCATCATCATCGTTGAAAAAAAACAATTAAATTTAATCATTACCTAGGGACCTTTTTGTTTTCTGTTTCTGTGTGATACTTTTAACCCCTTCTGTGTCATAACCAATGATAATGGCTAGGAATTATTTAATTGACAAAAACAACAGCAGAAAAAAACAATTCCAAAAAAAAATTGTCATCAAAATTTTTCAACAACAACAACAAAAAAAAAACCCATTACAATGTAATGTGATGATGATCATCATTATGTCCACTATTTTGATACTTGGAAAAATTGAATGTCGTCGATCGATGTTTTCTATTTTAACTGGTCATCATAATGATCATCATCATCATCATCAACAACAACAAGAACAATTGGATGAAAGAAAGGAGTGGCAAAAATAAAAGAACAGAACAATTATGATAATCACCACCACCACCACCACCGCCACCACTACCACCAACAACAACTAATCAACGTAAATTGATTTGGATTCATTTTATCCATCTGTGTATGTGTGTGTGTGCGAATGTGATCAACTAACTGACTGAATGTAATTTTGGGTGATAATTTCCTTTCATTTCATTTTGTGTCATCATCATCATCATCACAATAAACCATTCACAATTTGGACATTGTCCACACTTATAACTCTGTTAAGCGAAAACAAATGAAAAAAACATTGAAAACAATGAAAACAAAAGTACGAACGATGGGAAGAATCCGGTGAACCATTTTTTTTTTTTTTGAAAAAAAATTTCAAAATTTCCATTTTTTTCATTTTATTATTAATCCCAAAGAACAAAAAAAAAAAACACTACAAATAAAGATTATGTATGCTCCGACAAATATTATCATCATCATCATCATCACAATCATCATCCCAATTGATTGAAAACAAACCACTCTTGTATAATAAATTCTTGGAAAACATTCAAATATTCAATTGAATTTTTCATATTTTTTTTCCATCAAAATAATTCTTGTCGTTGTTGTGTTTGTTTGTCTAGCAAGAATTTTCAAGATGTTTTTTTTTCATCTGTTAATAAAATGAATGAATTTGTCAAAAAAAAAATGTTGTTCAACGATTCTTTTTGTTGTTGTTGTTGAACATTTTTTCTTTGTTTATTTTTGAATATTTTTTTTTGTTTCATTTCATTCTAGCAGTTAACACTCCACTTTTATTTATGACAAAAACTGAACTGATGAATACACTGCAACAATGATACAAGAATCATCATCTTATTTGGTCGTAATAAGAAAAAATGGCCAAAATGAATATTTCAAATTCAATGATGATCATTGTATATTGATAAACAAACAAATGAAATGACTAAATTGATATTAGATGGAATCGAATCGAATCAAACTATCTACCACAGCGACACAAATACATACATATTCAACATTCTATTATCCATTATTCAATCCAATCTATTCTCGGAGAAAACAAAATTCATAAGAAAATAAAGAATGATTGAAATAAAAGAGAGCGAAAAAAAATCTAGGTCAAAAAAAAATTCTGAATATCAACACACAGACATAATGATGATGATGGTGAGAATATTCCAGAAAGAAAGAATAATAATAATAAAAATAATTGGCCATTCACAGAATTCTCATCATCATCATCATTGGATTTTTGTACGAAAAAATTTTTTTTTCTCTCTTTTTATTACATAATAATAATGATGGTGATGATATCATCATCATAATAAATGATAAATACACACACACACACACACAGAGGCTATTTATGAATGAAAAAAAATTGAATACTGCAAACGGTGTGGTTAATGAATAAGCGAAAAAAAAACGGTAAATAGTCATCAACCTTGGCATCGTTGTTTGTTTGTTTGTTTTTTTTTGGTTGTTGTCAACCGTTTTTTACATTTTAAAATGACAAATTTTGTTGTTGCTTTTTTCATTCGACAATTTCTTGATTGAATTAACTAATATTTAGGCTATAAATAATCATATTAAATTAACTTTTATTTATTTATTTATTTTTTCTTACTTGCCCTTAATTTCTTTCTTCATATTTTTTTTTATTTGCAGTTGCTTGCCGGAAGTTGTCAACCACTGTAATATACTGTTATTATAGTTTTTTTTTTTGGCTGAAATAAAGATGTTATTGGTGTGTCGTATGTGTAATTTATGTGCATCTGGTTTCAGTGTGTGTGTGTGTGTGTGTAGGTCTGTATATTTGGCGTGTACAATATACAACAACAGCATATCCACCAGATCATATTATTATTTTCAAATAGAATAATATGGTCGTCGTAGTCGTAGTCGTCGTTGTCGTTTCCAAATTTATTGGTAAAATTATTATTCCTTGGATTTCTTTTTCATGTGGCTGGAGGTGGGGTGTGTGTGGGGTGGGGGGTTGGTTGAGCAAGTTCAAATGAATTGATGTCTTGGTGGCATGTTTTTATATGTTTTTTTTGCTTGCTTGCTTGCTTCTCGAATCAATGGCTACCATATAGTGATATATTTCGAACATATTGGCCATAAATGAATCAAAATGGATCCAATCGATCCAAATGAAATACGAACCATAATAATCATCATCATCATCATGATCATCATGATCATACATTATCGATTGAAGATAGTTTAATGTTTGTTTGTTTTTACTGTTATTTTTGTCACAATTTTAACATCATTATTATGCCGATAAATTTTTTTTGTATTCCATTCCGTTTTTTCAACATATAGATATAGATAGATTCTTGTTATTGTAGAATTCAAAATTAAATTCAAATAGTGAATGAAACCAAGGTTTTTCGCTTTATACTGAATTAAATTTCCTGTTTTATTTTGTTCAATAAATTTTCTGGAAATTTCTTGGAAATTTCCAAAAAAAAAAAATAAAATGAAATGTTTGCTTCACCTTCTTAATATATTTATATATTTTGGTTTATAACTACTACTACTACTACTACCACCACCACCACCATCGTCATCATTTTGTTTCCGGATTTTGTTTTTAATCCGGATTCTATATATAAATTTGTAATCAATGTGTATATTATTAACATGATTCAAATTGAAAATCTAAAAATCTATAGATAAAATCCAAATCATAACTTTTTATTTTATATATATAAATAATAAATTATCAAATCAAAATCGATGCCGGACACATTGGTTTCAGTCCAAAAAAAAAAAAAAAACCGAAATTCATCATCATCATCAATATGATAGAAAAAAAAGAGAGAAACTATTTCGACATCATCAACAGACAGAAAGAATGAATGAATGAAAGACAGAAATTACCATTTTCAGGATTTGAAATGGGAATAATATATATATATAAACAAGAGATGATGTTTTATTCATTTTCTTTCTTTCTTTCCAAGTCAAGTCTTTACACTATGAATGAATTGCACTGAGAATTTGTTATTTCGTAATTTGGATTTCGATTCTATCATCGTCATCGTCATCATCAAGAATGAGAAAAAAAATTGATTACAAATAAATCTAGATCATATGATTTGATTTGATTTGATTTTGGTAATAATTATTTATTGGGATGAAAAAAAGCGACAAACGACAACAACAAAACATTGATGACATTTGTTGAATTTAATTCCGATTGAATTTGATTATTCTGTTTTTAGAAATTCTGGATTGTTTAATCATTCTTCTCTCTTTTTTTCATTTTTCTTTCCACTTTTCCAATAAACCAATATACCTGTAGTGGAAATATCAGCCGAGAGCTTTATAAAATTATCAAATCTTATTGAGCTTGATCTATCAAATAATTCATTAACAATGGTACCATCAAGATCATTAGCCGAATGTCCTGGATTACGACGATTATCATTATCTGGTAATCGTATCAATAATATAAAAAGCCGTTCATTTTTACCATTAACCAATCTAAATTGGTTAGATCTTTCATTCAATGTGATCTATCATCTTGATATGGATGCCTTTATTGGTTTACGTTCATTACAAGTGCTAAAATTACAATCAAATCATTTACAAACAATACCATCGGCACAATCATTTGTACAATTTTTATCAATACGTTTATCATTAGATTTATATGATAATCAATGGCGTTGTGATTGTCATTTGAAACCATTTCGTGATTGGATTATTGCCAATCAAATACCAATGACAATAAAACCAGTTTGTATAATGCCAACACGATTACAAGGTATGTATGATAATTTTTTTTGTTTTTTTGTTTTTTCTGTAGAAAAAAAACCCAGAAATTCCTGGTTTTTTTTTCTACATTTTTTTCAACTTGAACAAAAACAAAACAGAATTTTTTTTCCGTGCCACCATAAAGATTATCGACCACAAACAAACAAACAAACAAACTGGCATTCACACTGGAATAATTCTTTGAAATGACAGAGAATTAAAAAAAAATTCTCGTATGACATGTGTGAATCAAACCTGACAAATTTCTGAGAAAACTTTTTTGCTTTCTCGTTCATGTTGTTGTTGGCACAGAATATTACCATATGACTATGTCGATTCAATTTACCACACACACACACACACAAATAAACTAAAAAATCGATCAATTTGCTATCCAGAAAAAAAACAGAATAAAAAAAATAAAATTGAAAACGTGAAAAAAATTCCAGAATACTGATGCTGCTGCTGCTGTTCTGGAAACACGTCTGGACCTGTCTATCGAGTTGAGGATGAAAAACAAAATACAAAAATTTTTTCCGCCTGTCACAACAACAACAACAAATTTCAATGACAGAACAGAAAAAAAGAAGAGATTCTAGGATCTAGAATGTAGGCTAATAATGAATAAATGAATGAATGAATGGAAAAAAAATCATTCTCATTGAAAAATGATTTGATCCGAACCTATTCAGTAGTAGTGGTACACAATAATGATAATGTAGAATTTTTTTTTCAATATTTATGAATTTTATTCAATGTGACAGAATATGGATAGATCAATGGATGCATCATGCATGCCATATATGGATCGATGGTATGCATTCTGTGTGTGTGTGTGTGTGTGTGTGTGTGAATGTGTGTATTTAGTTGGTTGGTTAGTCATTCACAGAATTTTCTTTTTCTTTCCAACAACAACAACAACAACAACAACGACGACAAAAGAAAAGGAGAAAATTTAAAATTCTACACCATTTTTTTACGCCAGACACACCCACACACACACACACACACACACACTCTCTCTCTCTCTCTTTGTTGCACTCAGATGTAGACAATGGATGTTTCCGTGTTCCTAGAATTGAAGCGCCATCATCATGATGATGATGATCTGATTTCATTTCATTTTTTTTACAATGATTCGATGAAATGATTGTATAATAAATCGAACAACAACATTGAGTACTGTGAACTACCAAATATGACTGATGTTTGTGTCATTTATTCAAGTAAAAAAAAAGAGAGAAAGAAGCGAAAAAAAATGAAATCAAGAGAGAGAAAAAAAAATTATGCTAATTTTTAAATGATTTTTCAATTTATTATCATCATCATCATCATCATAATCAAGAATCGGGTGTGTGAGAGAAGAATGAATGAATGAATGAAAAAATCTACAAAATCAGAATACACACGCACACGGTGATGATCACATAGTGAAAGAATAAAACTCGGTGCGTGTGTGTGTGTGTGTGTTCAGCAGCACTAGAAAAAAAATTCTTGAAAAAAACCATGTTTTAGGGGGAAGAAACAAAAAAATTTATTCGAAACGAAAGTCGATTCCATAGATGACGATGATGATGATGATGATGATGGAGAATAGAAAGAGAAAAAACGTCAGAAAAAAAATTGATTGAAAAGAAAGAATTATTATTCTAATATCAGGAATAGCAGAGAGAGAGAGAGAGAGAAAGACAGTGGATGCAAAGTAGAAAAATCAACGCGTGTGAATATATCATCGAAAATCAAATTTAAAAGTCTTCATCATCATCATGATCAGAATTGCTTGCAATTGGAAAAAAAACGGTTGATGCCTGTCAATGTCATATGATTCTTTATTTCATTTTTTTCATCAAAAAAAAATCACACACACACACACACAAGGTCTTGGGCAAGTTGAGAAAAAAAAATGCAAATCAACAATCTCAACATCGTCATCGTTATCATCATCATCATCACTTCAGAATATCACATCATTAGTTCTGTTGGTGTTTTTTTTTCTAGATTCCTTGATTTTGATTCTTGATTTTCACAACAACAATCATTCTTATTATTATTATTAATAATGATTCCTTGATTTTGATTCTTGATTTTCACAACAACAATCATTCTTATTATTATTATTAATAATAATGACTTCTTGATTCTTGATTCTTGATGTTGAAGAATCCTTTTTCTTCGTTGTATTTTTTTTTATTCTGTTAATTTTTCAAATCAATTTCTTCGTTTCTTTGTTTCGTTTCGTTTTTTTTTTTGTTCTCAAATTTCCTATTATTATTGTAGTGTGAGTAACAACAACACACACACACACATCTCATCGTTTGATTGATACTCAAGTGTGGGTGTGTTTTGGGTGTGTGATGGGAGGAACAAATAGAAAAATTAATTTGATTTTTCAACCAAAATGATGATGATGATGATGATGATAATGATTTATTCGTTTTTGGAGATGCATCACTTTTTTTTGTTTGGTGAAAGTGAATTCTTCCAACAAAGAAAGAAGAAAGCGAGAAAACGAGAGAATTTAATGTAATTGATTATGCAATTCAAACACATTTTTCAAATTGAACATTTATTTTCAATTTCCCCATCATTTTATTGATTGAAATTTTTTTTCGTTCAATGGATGTAATTTTTTTTTTTTTGATTCAAAAAAAAGTAAAAATGATTTCCAGGAAATTTTTTTTTTCGCATTCCGATTTTATGATTCGATTCTTTTCGGAAAATTTTCTTGATTAAAAATTCTAAATTTTTTTTCATTTTTTTTTTTTTCATAGGTCAAACTTGGGACACAATACCGGCCGATGATTTTAGCTGTCCACCAATCATAAATACGGTCAATACACATTATTATAAACATATTGGTAATAATGTCACAATATCATGTTCGGTTAGTGGATTTCCATCACCACGTATTTATTGGTTATTTGAATCAACCGGTATGGGTCAAACAACAATTACATCAATCAAAGATATTGAAGATGATGATGATGATGATGAATCCGTATCTGAATCAGTGATTAATAATCACAATAATGATGTTGATGTTGATGTTGATGATGATGATCGATTACAGAATCATCGTCGTCAATTATTACCATCGGCAAGATATTCAATTGTACAGGAACGTGAACAGATGGGTAATGTTGTTGTTAGTAAATTGACCGTACATTCATTACAACCAATCGATACACAGCGAATAACTTGTTATGCCCATAATGTTGGTGGTATTGTAATGAAAAATTTCACATTAATAGTATCAACACAGGAACCATTTAGTTCATCACGTTCAATGGATTTATTGGTATCAGAATTCATGTTAATAGTGATTGCAATCTGTATATTACTCATGTTACTTATGTTATTCCTATTTATCGTGATATTTCGAAGAAAATCTGGTTTATCTGGAAGTAATGCTAATAATAATACTTGTGGTAGTGGTGGTGGTGGCGGTGCTACAAATCATGTAACTGATTCATCACAAGCACCGGAACCTAATCGATTACAATTGGATGATGATTATTTAATGATTAAACAGCCACCACCACCACCACCACCACCATCGGCAACAACATTGATAAATGGTAATCTTATAATGAACGGTGGTAGCGGTGTTGATGAAAAATCCATATTTCTTGATCATCATCATCATCTTCATAATCATAATCATAATCATCATCATCAGCAACCAACATTTATTGCACCTTATTATCAACCACATCCAAATAATGAAACAATGACATCTGCCAATATTTTAATGGTTAATACTATTGATATGTTAACTGCTGCTGCTGCTGCTGCCACAGCAAACGGAAATACAATTATATCAACTGATCCAAGTATTTCTACTGATTTATCATCACAATCAACAACGGCAACATCAATGAATGGTAGTAGTGGTGGTGGTGGTAACAATCATCATTTACATAATCATCAACAACAACAACAACAACAGAATTCAACAGATTCTAGTTTGAATAGTCAACAACAATTATATTTTCCATTCGATACAATAACAACAACAATGACGACGACGACAACAACAACAACGACGACGACAACAACATCATTATCATCATCACCATTGCCATCATCAATGATTATGCAACAACAACAGCAACAACAATTATCACCATTATCATTTTCTTCACATCAACCGGATATAATTGTATCATCAAATGCCTATTATTTAGCTCCATCCAGATCACAACAACAACAACAACAACAACAACAGTAACGACAACAACAACAACAACAGCAACAGCTGTATCATTTCCATTATTAAATTCAGGTCCATTATTTCATCATACAGATGAACGAAATAATGATCATCATCATATTATATATGGTACAACACGTATTGCACCAACACGAATGATTATGAATAATATTTCGACCATTTCCGGTAATAATAACATTTCTACATCATCAAAAGTAAATAAAGTAAAATTTGCTGATGAATTTCAATCAGCATCATCATTATCATTTGATTCAATGATTAATTCAAATTGTTCAGAATCCATTACAACAACAACAACAACAACAACAACCGCAGCAAATACAGCATATACGATAGCTACATTACGAAGATCATCAACAAAATTAATACATGATAATAATAATTTAATGATAAATAAACCATTAGGCATTGGTCATCGTAACATTTCATCATATCCAGAAGGATTACGTTTAATTGAATCATCAGTGGATTCAGGTGAACAAATACCACGTATTGTTGCCGCTAATAATAATACTATAACAACCGATGAACAATGTATAGATGAAACAGAAGAAGATGATTATTATCAACAACAACAACAACATTCAGAGATTTCAGAGATTTAGAATTAATCATATATTATCTAAATCTAAATCCAAATTATCTTATAAACAAACGAAAAAAAAAAATAAATTTTACCTCTACTATTTTCTCTATTCTTGTTATATATTATGTTATTGTTTTAATTAATTATTTAAAAAAAATTGTAAATATAATTCCAATTTCAACCAACACAAACACACACACACACACACAGAATCACCTACAGAATCTCATCATTATTAATTTTTCAGTCATGTGTGTATATCACATAATATATAAACAACAATCGATACAATCGATTTTTTTTCTCTCCAAAACAAGTGAAATATATCTCTCTCACTCATTCATTCATTCTATTATAGAATTGATAAAAATAAAATTCAAAGAAAAAAAAATAAACAAAACCCACACACATACAATAATAATAATGAATATCCAAAGATCAAATTTGAATTTGAATTTAAAATTTTTTTTGTTGAAAAATGAAAATTAATTAACCCTTTGGGGCGTACACACACACACACACAATATGTCCAAATGAATAATAACGAATTTCAAATACAGAAAATAAACGTTTTTTTTTAATTCATTATTTCAGCGTTTCTGTGTATGTGTGTGTGTGTTTATTCTTGAAAAAAAAAAATTCATGAGATCGTGTTTCACAATCAAATCATGTCTGTGATGATGATGGTAATGATATGATGATGGTGATGAATTGTTTGTTTGTTTGTTTGTTTTCAAATAAAATTTTTCTTTTTTTCATTTCATCAAATCAAGGAATAAAACTAAATTGTGAACGATCCAATGCTTGTTGTAACACTTTCGATACAGTGGATGTAATTAGATTGGCAATTTGTAAACGAAATATATTCGATATTGAATTTATAATCAATTCTAAAAGATTATTCCAAATACCAAGACCAGTCATTTCGATCCAAACATAGGAAATATTTTTGACCATAAATTCTTCTAAACGTGGTACTGAACCACGTTTCAATTGTTGTCGCATACGTAAAAATGCCGTTACATTGTTGATGGCTAATGATGATGAACCACTGGGTCCATTATGGCCTGAAAATGGAAAAAAAAACGATTAGATTGAAATGAAAAAAAAAACAAACAACAATCACAAATGAACAAAAAAATTTTGAATTTAATTCAACATCAAATAGTTTCTTAAATATACAGTCAGTTAAAGATTTGATTTTTTTCCCATCATCATCATCATTCACATTGAATAACGCACACAATGAATGAATGATGGTGAAATATCGATCTATCGAATTGATTCCTATAGGAATCTATAAGTAAGTGGAAATTCTAATGATGAAATATTCTTTCTAAACAAACAAACAAACAACAGTAGTACAGCATGTCTGAAATCGTTGAGAGAAAAAAAAACAGAAAATAAAATCAAAAAATCCAAATGGGAAAAATGAATAAAACGCAAGCTAAAATGAAAAAAAAAGATTTCGATTCTTCTCCATTTTTTTTTTGCTCCACCACCACCATCAAATCTTTATTCATCAGTCAACCAACCAAAAAAAAATAAACTACTGCTATAGCTGAAAAGCGACCCGAATCAAATGGAAACGAAACGAAACGAAAAATATCGTGATTCCAAATGTTAAATTCCTTTTCTGTTTTTTTTTTTTGAATTTGTTCAATTTAATAATACAAAAGCCAAATAACGCAAACACATACAGACACACACACACACCAGAATGTTGAAATGCAATAAATTCTACAGTATTGAATTTGAAATATAGAATATTCGATCCATCGATATAAATTACATCACTATATATAAATATTCTCTTCATTTTTTCGCTGTTGTTGTTGTTGTTATTGGAAATTGAAAAGCTCTAGAAATAGACGAAAATCTATTGATCGAAATATATATCTACAGATCAGATTGTGATTCATTGGTATTTCGAAATTGAATCCGCCAACCAATGATGATGATGATGATGATGATGATGATGAAGGACATTTATAATAATGAATAAGTAAAGTTTATGGTTTGCACTAGAAAAAAAACTTCAAATTCAAATTCAAATTAAAAAAAAAAAAAAAAAAAAATGATTTACAGAACAAACAAACAAGCAAAGACAATTATTATCATCATCATCATATACAGAATCTGAATCATACGCATATATCGTATAGGAAATCAAAATAACAACAACAACCAGGAAGATAATCGGTTATATAGAACGATACGATAAACGACAAACACAGTTTTTTTTTGGCCAGCATTCACTATTCTGTCAAGTTCAGGCTCATTAAACCTGAAAATGAATTTATGTGTGAGAAAAAAAAAAAACACACACTCACACACACAATGGGTGTTGATTCGTGTGTGTGTGTATGTTCCATGGAATCCATAAACATAAAGAAGAAGAAGAAGAAGAAATTCTTTCATTCATACCAGAGAACCGGAAAAAGCAACAACATAAAAGAAAGAAAGAATTCTAGCCAAAAGTCAAATTTTTACTATTCCCACTTACACACACACACACACACTACAGAATCGAATTCAAGTTGGACAAAAAAAAAAAGAAGAAGAAGAAGTGTTTATCACGACTAATTTCATTTCATTTCATTTTTTATGAATGTTTTTTTTGACTCATCGTTTGACTCAAAAAAAGAGAGAGATACATAGATAGATAGTTCATCCGTTTCAATGTTTGTATCATCAGTGTGTGTCTTTGAAATTTTTCTTTTTTTTTGTAGAAAAAAAAGTTGTAAATCTCTCATTTAAGTGAGTGGGTGTTGTTCTCAATTCATTTAACACTTTTGTTCATATAAAAAAAAATTTCATTTTTTTAAATTATAAGCCAAAACAAAAAAAAAATCAAAAATAGAATTGGGAAACACGAAAAAAAAAGAATTTTGTAGTCCGCCGCCGCCGCCGTCAAACATTACGAATGTTTTCCATCATCATCATCATCATCGCAATTGCCATTGAGATAAGACAACGATGGTCTATATGATGATGACGACTGACAAACATAAAAAAAATGAACTGAAATTTAGAAGAAAAAAGTCAAAAAAAAAAAAAAATTCTTTTCCTCACTTTCTTGTCTTGTCTTGTCTCTCTCTCTTCGCTTGAATAACTAAAGTAACTTTGTTTTAAACGGTTTTTTTTCAAAAGCAACAAAAAAAAAAACAAAAATAGGAAATGAAATGGACTGGAGGGTAAAGAAAGGAAAAGAATTTCGAATGTTTGTTTGTGTGTGTCATGCTTTTTATGTAAGAACCGTCATCATGAAAGTTCATTCATTTTGTTCAATTTTTTTTCAAAAATAAAAAAAAATTCTTGATGGATTTCAAGAATTATCATTATGAACAAATATAAAAACATGGAACAATCATCATCATCATCATCAGAAACATCATTTAGAAGATTCATTAATTTTCACTTTAAAGTTGAAGCAAAAAAAAAAAAAAAAAAAATGGAAACATTTTTTTTCAAATTGTAAAATTTGTAGCTGGTTATTGAGCAAAAGAAAAAACAAACAAACAAACAAAAACTTACCCAATACATCGATAATCCAATCATATTTACCGGTAAGATTTAGAAAACCAACTTCAGCTTCAATGATGGCCGATTCATCTTCATAGATAACGTAGATATCACCCATACGGCGAAATGTTGTCAGGCCATATAGTTTTCCATGTTCAATTTGTATGGAAATATTCATCGGTATTAATTGTAGAATTTTTGTCTGTATTTGTCGTTGAAATGATGGTAATGGTATTGGTTCGAAAAAATTTCCAATCAATTTTGCTACCATTGCCAATATATCATCGAATAATATTTCCGATTCATATTTAATTAATTTACCGATTTCAATCTTTTCCAAACGTTTATTGATTAAAAGTTGAATTTTTGTCGATATTTTATCCGTAACAGTGTATTTAACTTGATCGAAAATTATATCACTTAATGCATTGATGATTGTCTGTGCGATTACTTCGGAACCAAGTACTTCAAAATTTTCTAAATCTAAATTCACTTCATCTGCTTTCATATTCAAATCGATTGTATCGATACGTAGCAGGCCATCCGGTGTTCTTTCCAGATTACCATATGCTTCAATTTCCATGTCGGTTATATTGAAACGAAATGTTCCATCACCATTGATCGATACAAATGATACCTGTGTAGAAAACAAACAACAATGATTAAGTTAATAATTGATTAACATTTAGAATGGAAAGAATCAAGTATCATAAATAAAAAGATGATCATGACCATGATCATGATCATCATCTATCAATCAGGCAACCAAATGAAAAAAACAAAAAAAGGCGAGACAAAACTTTATTTCCGAAAAAAAGTGATTAATTGCTACAACAATAACGATTGGCTTGTGTGGACCAGGGAACAAAACAAAACAAAACAAAAAAACTTTTCAAACTCTAACGATATCTAACCAACCAACAATGAGAGAAAATTCATTGAATACCGAGAATAATAAAAAAAAGCCATTTCAAGGCCCCTAGGTTCTGTACCAATGGACAAATGGTAAAAAATGAATGAATGAATGAATGATCGAAATCAAATCATCAATTTTCTTTTTTTCTTCAAAGAAGAATAGATTTCAAACTCTCTCTCTCTCTCCTTTTTTCCCACCATTGTGGGAACTAAATATCATCTGGCTGGTTCATTTGGGACGTGAAAATGTTTTTGTTTTGGTTTTGGATCAGTTTAAAAGTTTTTCTTTCCACTATTCATTCATTTATTTATTCTGGAAAATTTGGAGAAAAAAAGACAACAAACGATCAAATTATCTACAAGATAGTAGTGGTGGTGGCAGTGGTTGTAGTTGTTGCTATAGTCTCAAAGGGTTAATTTATTTATTTATAGATAGATAGATATATGTTTTTTTATTCACTCAATATACGTCAATTTCAAAGAAAAAATTTTCAAAGAATAAAGACAAACAAACAAACAAAAAAAAACAAAAAACATTCATTATGGTCTCTCTCTAAAAAAACAGCAAACAGAATTTGTTCCAGAAACAAACGATAATAATTCCATTTTGGTAACAACAACAACAACAACAAATAGCAGCAGCAGCAGTAGCTATTCTTATTTAATACTAATTATTCTTTAATATTTTTCCACTTGGTATCTTGTTTTTCATCATCATCATCAAACTTTTTAAGATTCAAAATAATAAAAAAAAAAACGACATTGATAGTATTAGTAGTACTATAGTTGACAAATAAACTAAATAAATACTATTGTATTTGTCTCAATTTCTTTATCCAAATGTTGTAGTTTATATCTTGTTTCATCATCATCATGATCATCATGGTCCCAAGTGATCCATCGAGAATAGAATCCAGATATGGCCTGTATTCTTGTTGTTGTTGTTGTTGTTGTTATTGCAGGCGGGTAAATATGGTGAATCCACCACATGAAATTTTAATTGAGTAGTTCTGATCCAATTTTTTTTTTACTTCAAGTTTAGAAAATCTTCAAAAACATAATCATCGTTGTTGTTGTTGTTGTTGTTACGAGGGAGAATCTTTTCACTTTTTTTTGGATCATGTCATTTTTTTTTTTTAAATAAATAAATCGGAAATTAATTTCCGGTTTGTTTTCCGGTAGAAAAAAAATTCAACTTTCATCCACTTGCATCACCATCATCATCATTTGAAAATACAAATGGTACAAACAAACAAACAAACGTTGTATCATTGGAATTCAAGAAAAATTCTAGCCCGGGTCCGGAGGTTTTTTTGTTGTTGTTATTGTTGTAAACATTCATTTGTGTCATTATCATTCATTTTTTGTATTTATTACCATACTACTTACCGAACCGTCGAGTGTATAGTTTCCGGTTAGAAATACATGCGATATGGTTAAAACAATCTATGATGGAGGAAAGAAAATCAAATGTTTTTTAAATTAAATTTTTGATGCTAGCTGGTGTTTGAAAAACACATTGTCACAACTTACATTGGCATATAATTTTCCAACATTAATACGAATTGATTTAATTTCCACATTACGTATACCATACATCATAACATTGGAAAATTGTCCAGTATATGATGAAAGCCAACCATCTTCTTTTGATACAGGTATATCACGTACACTAACAGGATCGGGTAAAAATTCATCAATCAATAATTCTGGCCGTATATGACCATGGTTTTCATCCACTTTTTCAACTAATTTATTCAATTTTGTCGATATTTTCTTCAATTTTGGCAGATTTTCATCATTAATTTTAATAATTTTGGATAATTTTTTCAAATCACCATCAGAAATTAATTCACCGGATTCAAAATCTTCAAATGGATCAGGTGTTGTTGTTGTTGTTGTTGTCGTTGTCGTCGTCGCTGTTTCACGCTTCATTAACATAGTGGTTGCAACAGTTGTCGAAATAGTCGAACGTTGTAAATCTGATTCTGATTGAATGATTCGATGAAGAAAAAAAACCATCAAAATATAAATAAAAAAAAGAAAAATCCAATTTAAATTTTTCATTTTCGTGTGTGTGGGGGAGGCAAAGGGAGGTGGAAAGAAAATTCTCAAAAGAAAAAAATTTCAACCTCATCAACAACAACAACAATAACAAAAAGAGTTAACGTAAGTAACAAATGCAAAACTTTTTCTCAAAAAAATTTTTTTAAATTCTTATCATCATACCAGAAGTTAATTCGGCGGAAATTTCATCATCTGCTTGACTGTTTTCATCACCATCATCATCGTCATCATTATTGTTGTTGTTGTCGTCGTTATCATTGGCACTAGAATTTGCTCGATTATCATCATCATCATCATCATCGTCGTTCAATGATTCGGCTAAAGGATGATTATTTATTGATGTTGGTAATATCGTTGTAATATTGGTCGTATTTTCATCATCTTGTATTCCTATTTGTAATGATAATTTACAACAAGCAACAAATATAACGATGATGATAATAATGGCCAATGATGATGGCCTAGATTTGTTGTATGTTGAAAAATTCATTATTGATTGATTGGCAATTACACTGTTTGGCACTTGAAGAAGAATTTTTTATATCGTCTACTTTTTTTTTTAAAAAAAGTTATTCAAAAGTTTTCAAAATTATCAACACCAATGAAACACATTGACACAGCATATAGTTGATGTTGTTGTTGTTGTTGATTGATTGATATCAGGAAAAAAAACAACAAACATTTGCCATTTCAAACTGATATTCACATTTTCAATAATAGTGAATCGTCGTAGAATTAAAATCCTGTGTGTGTGTGTGTGTGTATGTGTGTGTGTGTATTTATCGATATATTGTTGTTGATGATATGAAGGTCATTCATACACATACACCAATCAATGAAAATAAACGACGCAAATAACGATGACGACTTTATGACGATGATGATGATGATGATGATTTTCAATGATCAATGATCATAACGTTGTTACATTCGATAGATGGATGGATGGCTTGTGTTGGCTTACCGGATGAACCTATTTGAAGAAAATATCAATAAAAATTAATACAAATTATCCATGATCATCATCATCATCACTTAATAATAAATATATGTCCATCATTGAAACCGGGAAAAAAGTGAAAAAAAAGAAATTTTCATTTTTTCCAATTTTACAAATCAATCGATCATCATCATAATCGAAAATCGATAATAATCATGCATCAAAGCAGTCAATGGTCAATTTGTTTTTTTTTCTCCTCATATAATGAATTATCATTATAATGACGATGAAGATGATGATGATGACCAATACACATAAACAAAAAAATTAAGCAATTGAAAAATTCTAAATTCATCGAATTAAATTGAATTGAATGGCTTCGTAATGTTGCAATCTACGTTGTTGTTATTGTTGCAAATCTCATTTGAAACCTGTTTGTTTCACCATCACAAGAAATATTTTGGCTATACATGATGGGCTACCACTTTCTCTGCATATATTCATTTTCCTCTCGATGATTTGTTTTTTTTTTTTGATGTTTCGAGAAACAAAACAAAAAGATTTCTGGGACAAATTTAAATTTTTTTTTCGCTGGGTTTTTTTTCACAGCCCTGTCACCAAGATAGTCTCAAAATCTAATCATGTTGTGTGTGTGTGCGATGAGATTGGTGATCGGAAATCAGGATTTTTTTTTTTGGGCAAACATACACTATTTACAAATAATCCAACAGATCAGATATGCAAATTAAAATGATCATCATTCAATTGTCATCATCATCATCATCGGAGGAGGAAATTAAAAAACAGAAAAAAAACGTAAAAGCGCTCCACTTACCACTGATGTTAAATAGCTAGAAAAAATTTTCAAAGTTTCAAATTCTCAACAAAAATCATCGACGACGATGTCGAGCTCGAAGTTTAAAAAAAAATTCACCACAGAAATGACATTCGATTCGATTCGAGCAGCAGCAGCAGCAGCAACAACGAGAAAAAAAACGTTCGATTCGAACGAACGTTTCATATATCCATGAATGAATGAAGACAAACAAACAAACAAACAAAACCAGATAAACGAAGAGAAAAAAATAATTGGTTTCATTATCGTTTATTGATTATAAAATGTTTAAATTATAAACACAAATTACAATTGCCAATGATGATGATATGAATGTTGATATTTGAAACGTTTGAAAGTGGCAAACACACATACAAATGAAAATTGATAATTGTGATTGGTATAAATTTTTTTTATCAGCCAAATACGAAATAAAAAAATTGATACGAAAATGCAGCAATAACGATATTTTCTCGACGAAAACATTGGCCCCAAAAAACGAAAGAAAGAAATCTTTGACCTGATTCAAGAAAAAAATTTTTTTTTTTTGTTTTCCATATTCGTATTTTGTTTTTGTTTTGGGCCTTTGACCTGAATTGATTTTAAAATTGATCATTGATCATTGATAAAACAAAAGAAAATTCATTACAAGGTTGTGGTTCCGAATTTAATCACTAAGCGTACCACCACCAACACACACACACACAGAGAAAAAAAACCCTCATGGCATTAATTGTAGTGAATTTCCGTTTTTTTATTCTTTTTTTCTTCGTTACTTTTCTTCATGGATCAACCAGCTTGGTTATTATTTCAACCATCAAATAGTGGAAAAAAAGTTCATTTTTTTCATTTTTTTTTTTGTGTGGATTTGTGTAGCCTGTGACTGAAAACATTCTGGCCAACCAACCAACCAACCAACACACACACAGTTTGATGGTGATATACATGACTTGAATTGTTAAATTTTAGCTTAAATTGCAAAAATAGAAAGAATGAGAGAAAGAAAAGCCAGGAAAACCACGTATCATCATCATCATAATCATCATAATTATTACTGTGTAGCATGAACTAATAACCGGATATTTTTTTTTTGTTTTGCTGCTGTTGTTGTTCATCCATGGTAATAATCATCAAAAATAATTTACACACACATAGAGAGACTTTATTCGATGTTATGTTCATCAATATGTTACATATACGATTCTCGATTGATGCGAATTGATAATTGCGAATCAATGATGATGATGACGATGCTGATGGTGATGGTGATGGTGGAATAACCTTTTTTTTTGTCTCTCATAACGAATTTTCATTATAATTAGCTGATGTCCTCATTATTTGATGTTTAAAACAGAAATAATAGCGACGACAACAACAACAACAACAACAAAACGATTCTTGCGATTTGGATCAAATTCCAATACAGACAATTGTGAAAATGAATGAAAAGAATTCTGACACGTTTCGCATTGTTAATGTGTTTTTTTTGGACTTTTTCTCTCTCACTCTTTTTTTTATTGTTTTTTTTCTTTTACAGTTTCAGCAATCACTAACCATGTTGATGATGATGATGATGATGATGAACGAAGAAAAATTCTGGTTCCCGAAAAAAAAACTGGGATATCAGCTCGTTTTTTATCCTCTCGTCTGTTGGTTTGTTTGAATTTTTCTTTGTTTTTGTTCCACCACCACCATCATCATCATCATCATCATTATGTGGCAATTTTTTTTTTCATTGCATTCATTCATTCCATTGATTCATCGTTTTTTTTTTTGGTGATGATAAATTCGTGGCAATTTTTGTTTTCTATTCATTCATTCATTCATCTATCTCTTTGTTTAATTCTTGCTTGGCCGTATTCATAGAATTTTTGTTCACTTTTTACCACCATTATTCATATGTCCACATTGAGAATCTTTTCATCGTTTTTTTTTCTGTGGATGATGATGATGATGATGATGATGATATGCATATCGATCGTTGAATTTTACGCCTTTTTTTTTTTTTTTTGTATATGGGCCATTTGGAAATTAGATAGATAGATAGATAGATGCAAAGATAGATAGGCGTCAGATTATTCCTGATAAAAATGACAATATATAGTGATGATTATAAAGATTCATTAAAATTTAATCAACTTGCTTGCTTTTCAAATGATGTTGAATGTTATGAAGAAAAAAAAATTATTATTACGATGAGCTTTTGTTCCAACTGGAAAAGGGATCCATATTATAAATGGATGTTCATACTATGAGAGAATAAATTCATCAACAGTAGAAATTTTTTTTTTCTTTCTGACGACAATTCGCAACGATCCATAAAGATATCATTCATTCATTCATTCATTCATATACGAAATTCGTTGATTATTCTTGATGCAAAGTAAAAAAAAAAAAAAAAAGAATCTGACATTTCATTTTCCTCGACAGTTGTTTTTTTAGCTAAAAAAATCTTTATTTCAATGAAAAGATTTCTATTGATATCAATATTGATTGATGGATGAATTGATTGATTGATTGATTGAATGATCATCATCAGATCAGATAAATTTAATTTCGAATAGAAAAAATAAAAATTTTCAATTTTTATCATTCTATTATCATTTCTATTTTCACTCGACACTGTTCATAAAGGTATTAATAGATTCTCTTGTGTTTGGAACTATCATTTTTTGGATTTTTTTTTTGGAATTCGATTCATGCATTTGGCACATGATCCTATCAATAATAATAATGATGCGAAAAAAAAACTTTGTTAACTATCCAGATAATGATGATGATGATGATGATAATAATAATGATGATCAAAATGGTGATAATGATGATGATGACGATGATGATATAATAATAATAATAATGGTAACTATCATGATAAATTTCGATATCAACTAATCTTTTTCATTTTTTTTTCATACTTTGTTGTTGTTGTATATAAATTCATTATAATGATCATCAAGCACAACCAAGAACAACCATTCCTACAATTGATCGATATATAAAAATAAGGCCGAATAGATGAATGGATTGGATGTGTGAAACGATTTTTTTTCATTCCATAATTAATATCTATATCTACAGATATCGAGTATTGAGTTTTTTTTTTTCCCATTTGGAATCGAAGAATTTGAACGATTGTAATCTTTCCCACATTAGATTGAAACAAAAAACAAACAGAAAATGATTATCAGAATGATAATGATTGTGTTTGTTATTGTTGCTGTTCATCATCATCATCATCATCATCATCATATCAATGGAGAAAAACAATTGAATTGTTGAATGAAAAAAAAGTGCATAAATGAAAAAATCGAAATCAACTTGAATCATCATCATCATCATCCATTTTATGAATTTATCCAATAATCATGTTATTGTATTGGGATTTTCACAATGAAAATAATCGATTCACGTTCACGTAATTTATTTTATGTGGATGATTATGATGCATCAACAACAACAACAACAACAACAACAACAACAACGACGACGACGACCACCAACCAGCCAACAAAAATCATTCACTTGATCATCAATCGAATCATCAAATCCTTTTATTTCTATTCTATGACACACACACACACACAGATAATTAACCTTTTTGTTGGTTGATTTCACCATGTGTATGTGCGTGGGTGTATTGTACCGTGTGATAAATATATTCAATGGATGCCAAACTATATTCATATATTTAGAATATGAACCGTATAATGATGATGATGATGATTAATCATGAAATGTCGTCATGTCCATATTTAATGTTCCATTTGAATCGTAACATCATTTTTTACAGTTATAACAGTGGCTATAGAGAGAATCACATCTAACACATTCACACATGTATCATCATCATCATCATCATTATAGTGTGAGAATCATCTGACGTTAATTAATTAAATCAAATGTTTATCATGCACATGAAACCATGAAACAACATCGAATCAATTTCTTCGAAACAGCCATATATGAATGTATTATTCGATTTTTTGTTTTCTGTCAATTTTCCAGTAGAAAAAATTTTCTTTCATTTTGATAATAATAATGACCATTATTATTATCAAAATGATAAATCTTGAAATTCCACGATGTGATCATCATCATCATCATCGTGGATCATGGATGCGTAAATTCAAAGATTACGTTTTTAAAAGTGAAAAAAAAACGAAATCTCAATTTACTTTTACCACTACCACGGCCATTATTTTTTTTTTTCTGTGACTTCCTTTTACTATTATTTATCCATATATATATGAAAAAAAACTACATGAATGCTAATATTTCATAATATTCTGTGTTCCAACAACAACAACAACAACAACAACAGAAAAACAATTGGAACAGATATACACAATACGTTTTTTTTTCTTCACACATTGTCTTGTCTTGTGTCATTCATTGTACCATTTTTTTTTTTTTTGAAAGATATTATTATTATCATTGTGAACATGATACATTTCGAATGGAGAAAAAAATGAGAGAGATTCTAGTCAATGTAAATGTGTCTGTGTGTGTGTGTGTGTGTGTGTGTGTTCTGTTGTTGATATTGTCATCGTTGGTAATTAATCATCATCATCATCATCAACACCATAATCATAATTATAACGTTGCACGAAAAACATGAACACATTCTATAGAATGAATAAATGATGATGAGAATAGATGGTGTTCAAATATTCAATAAAACATTGTCATTTTTTTCTCTCTCTCTCTCTCTGTCTCTCTGTTTGGATTATCATTATCATGATGATGATGATGATGATGATGGTCATATCGATGTGTCAAACAACATTCTTTATTCTTCATGTTTTTATCATCGATATTCATTGGGCCATATTTCGAATCAACCGGAATAAATCGAATGTTTTTTTTTGTTGTCGACAAGAAAAACATTCGAAATTCCACGAATCATTCACAAATAGCGAACACATTAACATTCGAAAAAAAAGATAAAATAAATATAAATAACACACCAGTGAACGAATGCAAATTTTCAGTTAATCAAAATTCATTCATTCTATACAATTCTTTATGTGTGACATCAATAACAACAACAACAACGAAAAATCCAAAGAGAAAAAAAATTTTTTTTTCCATCATTCAAATTCAAATTTTAATAATAATAATAACTCTTGACTTTTATTCATTCACATTCACATTCATTATACCATATATATAGTCTTAATCAACGAATGAAACTAGAAGAAAATTTGAATATA